ATGTGAGGCCATTTTGATGCAAAGCGATGATGGCTGCACGTGTTTCTTTGGAGGTAACCATTGCTAACAAGAACACAATGATTGGAAGTGCTTCGTCCCTCCTTTTATAGCAATCAGTTTGCTCTTACAATCTAATTAATATGGTAGGGATTAACCTGACTAATACTCATTCACACTTTCACATGTACTGCTGATATGATTAGTCAATTAATGTTAGCTAGTCATTTTGTGTCAGGATAAAAAAAACAGTGAAGTTTTTTTTTTTGTGTGAAAAATTAATTTTTTGGCCAATGAAGCTTTTAGCAATTATTTCAAATGCATCTGATCACTCTACACAATGATCTAGAAACAATGTGAATGAACACCACAACAGCTTAAGCAGCAAACTTTGCAAAACACAAAATTTATGTCACAGCCAAAACTTTTGGCCATGACTGTAGATGGTGACTGTGGATGCCATTCTACCTAACATTTCTAGTCCTGTTCTTCGGTTTGGAAAAAATATGAAGATGAGTAAATCTTCTGGGTGAACATAACCATTTTGCTATAGGGTATAACTTTACATTCAGACTTAAAATTCTATTATGACTTTTTTGATTTATTTATTTTTTTGATTATTTTTACAATAGATGAATGCATTGTCCAACCATTTAAGCACTAGGACAATTCTCAAGCTTTACATTATTAGACATCATAATATTTTCTACTTTTATAATTTTACCACATTGTGAACTAAAAGACAGTAATAAAACTGGCAACATCGACTATTATTTCAACAGGACAGAGGCATTACAGCAAAAAAACAATTAGTATAGTTGTGTTGAATCATTTCAGAAGTGTTGTGCCAACAGATATTATCTTTAAAACACTGCATTATATCAACTCTAACAGTACATAATACATCTAGACACACTTAAAAAATGAGAATACTCATATAACAGCAAACAAATGGGTCTGCCATTTAATGTGCATAAATAACATTTAAACTTGAATGAGTTCAACTTATCTAGCTTCAACTCCCAAAACACTTCATGTTGCAAGTTTCCCTGAGAAGAGTGAAAGTCTCATTGGTCTTTCCATTTAAATAACTGAAGCCATTGAGGTGATTTTCCAGAAAACAATATGTGACCCAGGAGCACAAAACCAGTCATAAGGGTCAATTTTTCAAAATTGAGATTTATACATCATCTGAAAGCTGGATAGATGCGCTTTCCATTGATGTATGGTTTGTTAGGATACGACGATATTTGGCTATTGGTATTTGAAAATCTGGAATCTGAGGGTGCAAAAAAAATCGAAATATTGCAAATCTCTACTTTAATACCACTTACATAGACCAGACTTTCCAGTTTTATTCCTGTCAGTATTCTGAAGTATTCATATATCATTCAAATGATATATAAAACATATTATTCCTAAAACATGAAGAAAAATGTATTTCATTTTTGGCTGTTGGCAGTATTTAATGATTTATGGAGCAATAAAAAGAGATATTCAAAATACCACATGCATGTATGATATCTATTAGCCTTTTTTTAATGTACATTCGTAGAAATGTTTATCTAAATCCTAAATGGTCATGCCGCGTTTTTCTATGTACTTGAAAAATCTGATGTTTAAAATAGTTTTGGATTTACAGCATGTCACACTACTGGACACTGCTAAAACTGCCTGAAATTTCACATCAAGCATCCTTATTACATGATTGTAACACATAAAACACATGGCTGTAAAAAAAATAATGACAGCAACACCTTACCTCATCAGCGCGAGATGTCATTGGTAACTGTTATAACACCCAGACTCATCATAGCTGTTTATTATTTATTCCAAGTCAAAAATGTCTTCACAATGACAGCAGAGTCATGTATAAACTGTAAGTTCCCGATATGACCTCTGACCTGTCCTGTGTGTGTCCTAACTGGTGCAGACGCCATGAAACGCTGTAAGCGCCTGATACACTGTCACCTAGTGGCCAGGCTGTATAGCAACACACAAGACAAGGCCGACAAGCCTCAATGTTCCTCCTTTATTTAGACAATAAAAGCCGTCCATATCATATCTGCAACGGAAAAATATTCAGTATTACAATACAAAACAAATATATGAGCATATTCAAGTCACTGATGCAAGTCTTTTCAGACAAGTCAAAAGGTCTTTCAAGGTCAAATTTAAGTGAAGACTCAAGTCTAGGTCCTTTTTTATGAGTTCAAGTCAAGTTTTAAATTCCTTTTTTAAAACATTCCTTATATATTATACTTTTCAAACACATTTTTGAGAGTATAGAAAGTATATTGGGTTTTACTTTACTTTTTATCTAAAAAAAAAAAAAAAGTATTATTCTGAGAGAAAAAAATGTCTAAAGAGTTTCTAATTTGGAAAAAGTCTCAAGTCACTTTGTTTACCAGTCTGGTGAAGTCTCAAGTCAGAATTTTTTGCCACTTAAGTGTGAGTTTCGATCTCTGAAAATTACACGATCTAGACCAGGGTTCCTTAAATCTTGCCCTGGAGGGCCAATGCGCTGCAGAGTTTAGCTCCAACCCTGATCAAACTCAGCTACCTGTGATTTTCTAATGATCCTGAAGACATTGATTAGCTTACTCAGGTGTGTTCGATTAGGGTTAGCGCTAAACTCTGTAGGAAAGTGGATCTCGTGGGCCAGATTTGAGGATCCCTGGTCTAGACTAACGTATGATTGTACGTTAAGCTACTAGAGATTACAGACTGCTCATTTGAGAAAATTATTGTGAGATTAAATTATTGTGAGCATTTTATAGAGCTTCATTGTAGTGCATAGTTTAATAATCTCTTATATAGCATCAGGTTCACATCCATTCCTGAGCTTGAAGTATCTACTTTGCATTCTATTGATTTTATTGCAGTTATTGAATAGATGAATAAGCTTATGTAAACTTTTTTGGCACAGATAATAATATTATATTTTGTCTATACAGTGCATTACTAGATAACAAAACTATCTGAAGGCACCATACCGATTGACTAACATGTCAGAAAGTCAAAAGGTAAGCGTATGTCAGGATAAAGGATGGCAGCCTGAGAACATACAGTACTTTCTGCATCTCTGAGAACAGTCACTGATATCAGATATCCTAAAGCAGTGCAGCTGAGGTATAGACCAATCCACGACGGATGTGATTGGATGTAATATTATAGCATCCTAGAGCCGCAGATATTCAGCCAGGAATACCACAAGGACTTTGGTGAGATTCTCCACAGTGTGACTGTGAACCTTGTCTGCTGTGTCATCCAACGTGTGCAGAAAGGAAGGGAATGGCGTAGCGATTATGTGCAGCACTGGAACTCCTGCAGTCAACGAGAGAAAGAACAAATCAGAACAAGAATAAGAACGGCAATATTGTTACACACATATGTGTGTGTGTGTGTGTATGTATACATATTTCTGCTTGTCAAATTGATCTATGCTCTTACCTCTCTGAAGGAAAGGAATATGATCATCTTCAACTGGCCCCATATTAATATCCTTCATGAAATAAGTTTGCTCTTTGGGATGGGAAGACAGGAGCCCCAAATTATGAAGTCTCTTCTCTTATAAAATGCAGAAATATAATTAGAGGGATCAGAGGGTGGATATAAACTACCTATCATTGGGTCTGTGTCTAGGCCATATAATTATAATTTTCATAACAATCAAGGACTATAATTCATAATCATATTAAATCTTTTTAAATATTATTTATTAATCACTTCACTTTCACTTCATTGATAATGTTTTCCTCCTCACATACAGGTTTTGAAGTGAACTTCTTCACTCGCCAGCCAATTTTGCTACTAAATGTTTAAGTTACCAACCATTTAGAAGAACTATCGCTAGCCAAAACAAAAATATCAGAAATAAACCAGATTATCAAACTCACATCTTATATTTAAATATATTTCTTATTAAATCTTATTCTGAATCATTCAATTACTTTCAGTTTTTAATACAGTCAATCATTGTTCGCAGATACCATAAAAAATAAAATACAAATACAAAAACATCAGTGATTTCTCTTTTAAAACAGCATTTCATTATGATTATTGATTTCCAAATATAGCTCACTCCACAATTAATCTTTAATGGTGAACACATTAAAGATTAGTGGACACTGGACAGGCAGTTAAATCTCAATCAGCAATCAGCTGTTTCTTTACAAAAGTCAGAATATTGAATCCTCTCCTCTACTGACATCCATTGAAAAAAAAAAGCCAACCCATTCTCCTGCTGGTAGGAAGTAATAATTATTAATCATAATCTGCCAAATTGGCTAGTGAGTTCATATGTGATTTTCAACCGTATATGGCGAGTTGATGGGGGTTAATTTCAAACGCTGCAAATACTGTAGACATAGACAACTCAGTAGATGGTATTTCCTTGATAGTAAGTGCGTGGCTGGTAGTTTGTCTACTCTAATTTATGCCACTACAGATCAAACATTAGTTTTAAGAGTCTTTATGGCCATTAATGATTAACCAGGATACCTTAGTATTAATAGAAAGTCAAATCAGTCTTACCAGCAGCGATAAGGCGGTCAAACCAGCGAGCTGTGTTCTCAAAGTGATTCACAAACATGGGATCAGGTGCACCAATAAGGTCCAAAAGAACAAGTAGATCCTGCAAATATCAGTTTCAACTCAATGTATTCATATATTTAATACTCATAGATACTTAAAGGGATAGTTTAACCAAAACAAAAGATCTGTCAGCATTTACTCACCCTTATGTTGTTCCAAACCTATTTGACTTTCTGTCTTCTGTAGAACATAACAGATATTTTGAAGAATGTTTTGGTCTATACAATGAAAGTCCATTTTGGACCCCATTGACTTTCATTGTAAGGACAAAAAAACACTTTTCAAAAGTGTGTTCCACAAACAGAAAGTCATACAGGTTTGAACAGACACGACTTTAGTAAATGATGACAACATTTTCATTTTTGGGTGAACTATCCCTTTAAAAACAAATGTACACACACACACATACACAAGCATCCTGATTTACCACAGCATTCAGCAGTGTGGATTGTTCAGAACCCGGCGGGTGAGGAATGCGGGACATGGAGTCTGCGAGGTGCCGTGAACCATATAGTGAGTCTGTCTGAGACCACTGCTCAAAAGCTTCTCCTCCATCAAAGAAGACCAACTGCAATGTCACCCTGGAAACCTTCACAAAAAAAATCTGCTCTGTTAATCTGAACAGCCAATCAGATTTTTCAAAAATCAATTATTCCAATCCTTGTTGCTGCGGGATTCTGTTTACTAAGGATTTAGATTCATTTAAAATCATGGCCATCTTCCTACCACCTGGCCTGCACAGGAAGATGCTTCATTATTATACTGAAGTGTGCAAAAAAATAAATAAATAAATTGTATGTCCCCAAGGATGAGAAAATCTTGAAACTCAAGAAATCTTGTGTTCTACATATTCTACACCTGCAACTGTATGTAGATTGTGAGGATCTTCTTTTCTTATCAAAATCCCTTCCGGTCATGCAGTGTTTTGTAGCTCTTGGCTCTATTACAAGTTAAACAACAGAACTGACTCTGAATTCTACAGCACTGTGGTTCACAAGTCTGGAAAAAGCTTAAGTGACCCCCTCAGAGACGTGCACCACTCTCTTCATCTCAGGACAGAGTGTATTTATGAGCTAGTACATGCTATATGTCTCCAAATTTAGTTGTTAAATGAATGACCTATGAAAACAGTTTTCTTGAAAGTGAGATGTAACACTTTGTCTTACCAGCTGCTTGTGCTTTTTGAGGTGTGGATCCAAAGCTGTGACCAGTTCCAGCATCATAGCACAAGGCACAGCTGAATCACTGGCACCCACAAACACCTTCTGTGGGTCACTAGGATCTGAAGGTATGAATTTGGAGTCATAGTGACAAGCCAGAAGCAATCGGCGAGGAGCCATTGGGTCTAACACGGCCAGGACATTAGAGAAGCTAACAGGGCCATGAGGGGTTTCGGAGATGAAGGAATCCACTTCTACAGACCAGCCCGCCGAAAGAGAATCCAGTTTAGAAAAGATGTGCTAGGAACACAGAATAAATGAGACATCAGATTATAGCATATTTAGTAAGATCTGAGATTTAATTGAACTAAAAACCAGGCTGATAGTACTAAATCAATTGTGTCTTACTTTTCGAACAGCCTGACTCCCACGACTTCCTGGCTGGCGTTCAGTGAGAATAGGTCGCAGATGGGAATACCACAGTCTTTCCCGATTCACCTGCGAGACAAGCCGCTTTACTTGGGCAACAGTGGGTTTACCTGGCTGGTGATTCAGCTGTGAAAGGTTAAAGACGGTAAACATGTGGAAGGCGAATAAGGAAAATCATCATTATTTGTATGCATGTAAAATTGCAACAAAACTACATTGGAAAATCTGGGATTTTGATTGTGGTAACCATTTTCTAGATGATCTACATCCTTAAAAAATAAGGGTTTTCACAGTGATGCCATAGAAGAGCAATTTTGGGTTCCCCAAACTAAGAATCTTTAAATAAACAGCTCCTAAAAGAACCAGTTTTTTTTTTCTTAGAGTGAAGAACATTTTAATCTAAACAACCCTTTTCTACTATAAAGAACCTATTGTGGAATAGAAAGGTTCCATGGATGTTAAATTTTTTTCATGGAACCATGCATGCTAATAAAAAAACCTTACTTTTTAAGAGTGTTTTTTAAGGTGATTATTAGCTAGTCCAACCTAGGACCAGCAACAAACCAGCTGGTTATACTATTTTTGGAACTTGATAGCTAGTCAAACACCAAAGGACCAGCTAATGACCATCTTGCACCACACAATGCTTGGGAAAAGCTCAAATAATAATAATAATAATAATAATAATAATAATGGGCCTTTTTCACATTTCCGGGTTTCTCAGCAGCGGAAGTCGTCATAGTTGGGTTAACTTGAAGAGCAGGGAATGGGAGAGTACCACAAATATATATATTTTTGCATTCCCATTTGCTCAAATAGCAAAAGAAAAACTCCACGATAGTGTTTTCATGAGTTTCAATAATAGGAAAAAAATTGAGAGAGACTGATAACGGCAGTCAGAAGAGAGAACGATGTCCAATTTACCGTCCCTCCCATAGACGCTGCATTAGAAACACCCTCGCATTAGCGTTAACTGTTTTTTTTGTAATTTGCTGCAAAGGTGATATAATACAAAAGAAATAGTGTTATAAATGTACATAATTTTTTTTAAAGCGCAAATATAAAAAACTTTCGAGGATTTACGATGCTGATGACCGTTAAACGGTTTGTGAAAAGGGTCCATAATAATGATAATAATAAAAACACATCAACAAATGACCCAAATGTTTACATGAAAAGAAGTGACATTATAAACTGAATGTCTGCAGTCCTCTTACCTTGTCTTTGAATAGGTCGGGAGGTTTGGGAGGAAAATCATAATCTACCGTTTGGTGTTTAGACAGTGATACTGCCAGTGTTAATGTAATCGCCACCAGCACGCACAAGCCCAGCAGCAGTATCCGCACGCGGCACATACGTGCGTGGTCACAGCGCGCTTCAGAATAGCTCCACCACCTGACAGTCGCTGCTTTGTACCGTATGCTGTTCATCTTGTGTTTACGACGGATGCCAAATTAAGATTAAACCTGCGTGAAATGGGAATACAACAAGCAGTTAAAAATACCACGAAGCTGACTTAATTACACAAAACAAACTAAACTATGATTCCCAATTGCTTAGAGTCGTTTTTAGAATCTGGTGCATTTCTCAACCTGTTTTTTCCCGTTGATGCATGCATGCAGTTTGTAAAACATTACAATAATTAATCAACTAGCGCACTTAAATATACAATAGAATAAGTCATAAAATAATTATATCGATAAATAGTTAATAACAGGGGCTTAATTCATTCAAACAACTAAATTAAATGGCGAAGCACTTCAATTGTTAGTTGCCACAAAAGATGCGGAGCCCGAAAAGCAGATTTTTCCTAATAGACACACTCACCATGAGTCCGGGACTGGCGCACCATTGCTCTATCAAATCCCCCGCGGGCGCTGGAAATGAACAGCTCATTGTGCTGAACGTAGAGAGGACTGAGTCTGGGGACTATTTCATCACCAACGCCGGTCTGATTCGTCCTCGATATGCATCTTGACGATGCAGCCTGTAAATGATCGTGTTCTCAGTTCTGCAGTCGACGTTATTGAGACAGAACAGGACAGCGATCTGCGTAGCTCCTCATCCCACTCTGGCTCGATGTCCTCCTTACTCTAGTTACTTAGCAGTAATATAGAATTATAAATATTACATATGCATTTGAGCATAAAGGGATAGTTCACCTTCAGTTGCTTGCTGGTCCTCATTGACTTGCATAGTGTTTTTTTCCCCATACTATGGAAGCCAATGGGGACCAACAACTAAAGGTGAACTATCCCTTTAACTATGGGGAAACTATGTAGTCAACGTTCAATAACAGGTTACAAAATATTTAAATATCTTATTAAAACATTCTAAGATGGAGATTAAAGGGAAATTGTTTTGGCAGATAACTATTTTATTTTTTGCACATATTTGCACGTGGTAGCTGATATGTGAAATGTATGCACCCCTAGCGTCACCGGAACGAATGACAAAAATGTATTTTAATTTTAATTTTTTAAATTTAATTTGTTTTTATTGCTTGTAGAACACAAATACCAAATAAATAACAGTAAGAAAAATCTTAATACAATTCCAAGAAGTCCAAATAGCAGCATAACAAAAGATACATGGATAAACAAAATAAAACACAACAGGAAAAGTAAGAAAGAAAACCAAATAAATACAGGAAAGAAAGAAAAAACCTACAATGCAAGGGGTTTAATCACAAAAATGTATTTCAAAGGTTTCCGTAAAACTCTTCCTTACGCAGATAACCACGCCTTCAAGGCACATCATTGGTTGAGAAATGTTATGTCGTGCTGATCATTGATATGTGGCCTACATGTCTACATACATAGCTATAGTGCTGATGTTCTTGATGCTCAAACACGGCTGATAGTGTCACGGAGTCATTGTTTTAACTTTACAAAAATGTGCATACAAATGCCTTAGTTGGAATAGGAGAAAGTATTTTAACATTAAACAAAATATACATAAGCTTTAAAGTTCACGGCCAAGCAGCCCAGTAACGTAACCAATTGTCACGAGGTCTGTGTAACTCTCGTTATCCAATCCGCGTAAGCGCTGAAGCTGATTGGCTCTTTTCTTGTCCAATGTCATTCTAAGAAGTTCTATGTTGGAGGAGATTTAATTTAGGGAATAGTCGCAGTATATTGTGCATTCCATAGAGAATAATTCAGGTAAGGGAACTATACCTACGCAAGAAAATACATTTAAAAAGAATAAAATGAAATGTAAAGCAACATATCAGTCATTTTAAAATATGGCATTGAATAGAGCGCGAAAATTAACGCAGTGATACTCAGTAAGCTGTGATAAAAATGTATTTTAAATACTATTGTTCAAAATGTTGTATAATAACTGTGTTATGTAATAGTGTGTGTGTGTGTGTGTGTTTCTCTAGGTGTTAAAAACATACAAACATAATAAAATATATTTTAATTGGCTACATATATAGTATAAATAATGCATATAGTAAAAAATTATAATAATTAAAAACAACATATTTTATGTGTGTGTCCACAGGACCCCCTGATAAACATGCTGCAGTGCTTTGAGTTTCACCAGAGTCACATTCATAGTCTGAAGAGTCATCCTCACCGTCTATCTGAAAACAACCAGAGAAGTCAGCTGCTTTATTAATTATGCTCAATGCAAGTTTTTTATGCATATATTTTGAAATATGGAAGGGGTCATGTGATACATACTGAAGTCTATGGCCTTTGTGTCTGCAGAATCGGAGTCGGAGAGTGAAGACTCTCCATTATCTTGCACACCACCACAGTTCCTAAAAGCCAAGAACATGTACACCTACAGTCGCATAAGCAAGTATACAGGTGACGTTTATGTATTTAAAACATAAAATATATTATATGGTATTTATTTTCACTTACACTGCTGTATATATACATTTATAAACAGTACGATTAAGTGACAAAAAGAGGGACCCTCAGAGCCAGAACTCTGAGAGATTTATCATAAATGCTGTGGAGCAGCTAGAACACCAGATTATGTGTGACGGACAAAGCAATTTGTCAGAAGCCCAAACTGCAGAAGACAAAGACCTGTGGCCTGTTGATGATAGCGAGCCATCACAAAGCTCTCTAGATTCCAACTCCACAACTTCCTCCTTCAATACAGGTGAAAAAATCTTGTCTTTCTTTGGTGTTATATATTAATTAAATCCACATACTGAAACTTAAAGGATACCCGGGGTTATTTTTTGTTATCAGGGAGCACTGAAGCTGAATCTACCTGTAGTTTCTTTGAAGACCAGACAGGAAGTGAAGATGGAAGCCCAGGGAGAAATATGTTGGATACACCTCCATCCGGGTTTGTATATTGGATATTTAATTTATGTTTGTGAATAGCAGAGAAATGACAGCTTGAGATGTACCTGTGTGCAAGCTTGTAACTCATTTTTATGATTTGCTATATCTTCAGATCAGGAATTCTTCTGAAAGACCCCATACTTGGAGCTTTTCCGGCTGCATGGAAAAAGCGTTTCCCTTTCAGCCCTACGCTGCTAAAAACACCAGTACTGCCTTTGCGTCCACCCCTTCGGGAAGCAGACAGCCTGACCCTCAACCCATCACTGCTCATATCACCTTCTCAAGGCCTGAGCCATTCTCTCCATCCAGAAGGACGAGAGGCGCTACAAAGTAAAGATAATCCATATAGGCCTACACATATTTTATTGAAAATATATGTTAATATATATATGACTAGCATGTATACTACACTCAGTAAAAAGGTACAAAAGCTGTCACTGGGGCGGTACCTTTTCAAAAAGTACACCTTTGTACCTTCTTTACCCTTAAAAGGTGCATAATAGTAGTTTAAAGGTACATATTAGTCCCTCAAGCGTACATATTTGTACCAAATTGGTACATATTAGTGCCTTTTGAAAGGGTACCGCCCCACTTCACAGCTTTTGTACCTTTTTTCTGAGCATGTATTTATTAAATAGATGCATTGGTTGTTTTATTAATAATGTATTGTCTAAAACGTTTAGGCAGTTAGGCAAAATCTGCTTAATTGAGCCAAATGTGCACATTACTGACAGTGTGAAATTACAAACAAGACAGTGTTGCTGTTATGCTGACTGAACAATATTTTTTTTTACCCTAACAGCATTATTCGAGGACGTGTGGGTCACCCCAGAATCTACCGTCTTAAAAAGTACCAGCTTGCCAGGCAGCTTTGCAAATGACTCAGTAGGCCACATTTTGTGATCCTTCTTTACCTGCATATATAGGGGGGGGTCCAAAACTCTGAGATCACAATGAAAATATGGGATTAACCCTCAGAGACCCAACAAAACAGAACAGCAATGTTTGCGTATACCGTAGAAATAAAATAATACATAACTTTCACTTAATAAGTGTTTCTACACGTAACAGTGTCTAGTGACGGGGGAAAGGCTTACATGCCCTGAAATTTTGAAAGTATACTGAACAAAATTATAAACGCAACACTTTTGTTTTTTCCCCCATTTTTCATGAGCTGAACTCAAAGATCTAAGACTTTTTCTATGTACACAAAAGGCCTATTTCTCTCAAATATTGTTCACAAATCTGTCTAAATCTGTGTTAGTGAGCACTTCTCCTTAAGAAGAAATGTGTGAACGGCTTCATTATGTTCTGCCAAATGAACAGACAATTATATATCAGGTGTGTATAAGTACAATTTTTTCTCAACATTAATGATACATCCACTATTAAACCCATCTAAATAAATATATTATTTCGGCATAGATCCTATCCCGGCATCCCCTCTACTACAGTCACTAAAGAGTTAGCCAGTCTATGGCACATCTTACCCAAGCGGGAGAGACGTTTGTACTGGTAGGCTCTCTCTGAATTCTCCAATCTTCATTGAGGCTTGTCTGTTGCAATGCAATTTCATATAAACCTCTCTCCGTTTTTTAGCTTGAAAGCCTGGAGCTTCAGTCGCCAGCAGAACCGCAATGTACGCACTCAAAAACATGAGGCAGAAATGAAGGCAGAACGCTCTGTACCCAATCCACTGCACATGTTACTGGCCTATAGAGACAAGTATGCAGCTGTCAAATGAAGGTCTTCACACCTCAGTTACCTACTGCATTGAGAATATATGCTTGAAAGGTCTAAGAAAAACAGGCCAAACAGACTACTGTTTTTTAAACAACCGCATTGTATAGTTCGATACAGTTTTATTACGGTTAATCACTGTTGTGATTTTACACAATTGCATCTCAGGGATTTTAAAATAAGTAATTTATTGTGTGTTAAGTATATTTTTTATTGTTCTGCACTTTTTAATCATCACAGAGCATTTGTACGTATACTGTTTTCAGCATTTTTCATTGTGACTTAAAATTAATTCAGACTTTTATTACTTATTAATAATATATGGCAATTGTTAAGTATCTATCTTTGTATATATATTTATATATTTATTATAAGGTTTTATATTAAGCTGGTTTATAGCTTTTTTTATAGCCTTAACCTAATTATTCAGTAAAGAAGCCTTAGAGGAGCTGTAATATGCTTCCCAAGAGAGTTACCAACCTTATGAAAGTTGTTCTGGTTTGTACTGTGCTGTTAATAAACCTTGATTGAGTTCAGTTTGTTTGGGTTTTCAAGCTCATGTGAGACCTGTGCCAGCAGAAAGTTCAGAAGAACTGGAACATTGTCATTTGTAAGTCCGTTCATAAGTTACTACATACTAGGTTTGTTCATGAAATATTTCGAATAATTTGATTAGGCTTTCAGTCACTAATGGCTCCATTTAACAAATCTTACCATTTTTAAATCCGTTCAGCAGATTTTTACTTCCCACATTAGTGCAGAAAATGCAAAAAAAAAAAAAAGTCTGGCGATTTCCAGATTTGTAGTTTTTGTCTGCAACCCTGCATTACTCCATCCCTCCAGGTGTCGTGTTTAAAATGTTGCTGATTTTGTGTAGTTGTGCAACTGCACAGAGGGACTCTTCTCTCAGATGTTGGTTGCTAATGCGAAGCTTCAACACCTCTGCCAGAAGAGTCACCTTGTCTCTCTTCTCCTGAATCAGAGGACAGAAGAACACATGGTGCTTGTGAGCGTGTTTGTCCTCTATGAGCGCACGTAGTACACACTTTTCTCATTTATTAACTGCTAAATGAGCCTCACCTTCAGCAGGTCACCACTCAGTCGCCTAAGCATCCCTTCCAGGTGAGAGAGTTGGTCGGGAAAGTCAATGAATACATCACTGCTAAAAAAAAATGAGCATGCAAGGCAATTAATATTCATGTACGCTCTTAAAAATAAAGGTTTCAAATGGGGAGTTTTTGCAGTGATGAACCATTTTGATTTCCCAAAGATCCTTTCAGTGAACAGTTCTTTTAAGAACCATTTTTTTCTTAGTGTGAAGAACATTTAATAATCTAAATAACTTTTTGGGATTAAAATAAACCTTCTGTGGAATGGAAAGGTTCCATGGATGTTAAAGGTTCTTCGTGGAACCATAGATGTATTTTTAAGAGTGTAGTTTTTCAGCAGTTTAAACATTAATTTACGGTTTTGAAAATTAATCCAAAATTGCATTCAATTAATAAAACTATGCCCCACTTACGCCATATCTTCTCCACTGCAGTAGGAGCTGGATTGGTGGATCTTGTAGGGTCCATGTGACGGTGTGTCTGGCCTGCTTGATACAGGACTCATTTCTGACAAAAGGGTTGCCATCCTTTGTGCTGCAAATATATTGTAATCATGGAATCATTTATTTTAATACTACTACTAATAAGTCATTGCATTAAACAAATTATGAAGCCAACTATACAACATATAACTATGTATGCAGTTACAAATGACGGTCTGAATAAAATTATTAATTTATTTGAAGAAAAAACAAACAGATTCAATCAGGAACAAAACAAAAACTGTTTTATAAGCAAATGATTGAACAATTGTTGAAAAATTCTGATTCATTCATTCAGGAACGAATCACCCCAGCCATGTGATGCTTGGAGGCGCTTTATGGTGATTCACTTGGAACTATTTTTGCTTACTGAGTTAAAATTAAAGCATCTGGCAATGTTGTGTCTAAAATGCATGTTAAACTTCTTACTGAACTGTTACATTTAAGTAATATCACAAATTAATATAAATATCACTTTAAGGTATATTCATATATCCACAAAAAATCACCATGGCATTGGGTTAGTTTCAAAAATGGATTAAAATAAACCTTCTGTGAAAGGTTCCATGGATGTTAAAGGTTCTTCGTGGAACCATAGATGTATTTTTAAGAGTGTAGTTTTTCAGCAGTTTAAACATTAATTTACTGTTTTGAAAATTAATCCAAAATTGCATTCAATTAATAAAACTATGCCCCACTTACGCCATATCTTCTCCACTGCAGTAGGAGCTGGATTGGTGGATCTTGTAGGGTCCATGTGACGGTGTGTCTGGCCTGCTTGATACAGGACTCATTTCTGACAAAAGGGTTGCCATCCTTTGTGCTGCAAATATATTGTAATCATGGAATCATTTATTTTAATACTACTACTAATAAGTCATTGCATTAAACAAATTATGAAGCCAACTATACAACATATAACTATGTATGCAGTTACAAATGACGGTCTGAATAAAATTATTAATTTATTTGAAGAAAAAACAAACAGATTCAATCAGGAACAAAACAAAAACTGTTTTATAAGCAAATGATTGAACAATTGTTGAAAAATTCTGATTCATTCATTCAGGAACGAATCACCCCAGCCATGTGATGCTTGGAGGCGCTTTATGGTGATTCACTTGGAACTATTTTTGCTTACTGAGTTAAAATTAAAGCATCTGGCAATGTTGTGTCTAAAATGCATGTTAAACTTCTTACTGAACTGTTACATTTAAGTAATATCACAAATTAATATAAATATCACTTTAAGGTATATTCATATATCCACAAAAAATCACCATGGCATTGGGTTAGTTTCAAAAATGTCTCAAAGAAGTATATAAAACAAGACGAATAAGTGGCCGTTCACACAGAATGCATTTTTGCATGCCACTGTGCTGCTTTTCTATATGTGAACACACAATAGATTAACTTTCGTTAACTTTCAGTAGATCATGTCCTCTGTGCTTGACAAAACGTTATAAAAATGTGGCTCAAGTTAAAAGTAGTTAACTTTAAAGAAGTTAAGGTCTCTTGACCTTGCATTTTGTTTTGTTTTGTTCCATTCCACTTCCTCGCGTCTCACGACATAGAAAAATTAAATTACTGTAGTTCAGAGAAAAGCTCTAGAACAGAAGTGTCCAAACCTGTTCCTGGAAGGCCATTGTCTTCTGTCCTGTGTTGGAGCTAAACTCCGCAGGACAGTGGGCCTCCAGGAACAGGTTTGGACACCCCTGATCTATTGCAATTACATACAATAGCAAATGTGGCTTAAATTTAAAAATAGACATTTGGGACCACTGTGTGTGAACAATCTTATCTCAACATATTTATTTGTCCTTTGATACTTACTCTCATATTCTTGGGCTGCTTGAACTAAACTATTCCAGTCGAGATCACTGGCTGTGCTTGGCAGGGACATGAGTTCAGGATCAGGATGCTGGTCTCTGTCCCACAGGTCAGATTCAGCCTGCTCAGGCAATCCTCCACATTCTAGGAAAAGACAACCAGTGAGTGCCAATGTATACTAGAAAAAGCAAACATCTATTTAAGTCAAGGTCATACCAGTTGAGGAGCAACTGATAAAACCAGAATATATGTGAACTGCAACAGAACATATAATTACTATAATAATGACGTTATGCTTCATAGAAGGAATAACTCTTGCCTGTTTGACGTTTTTCCAGGTGGAGATGGATGGGTGTGAGTGCGAGAGACTCTGGGTTTGATTGGTAAGCTTGACTGAATAATGATGGACTTGGGTATGAACCTGACATTCGCAAACTGCTGCAAAGCCCCGCCTCTTTTTGTTGAGGTGACTACAAATAGACAGTAAACACATTGCAACATGGCAACACTGCTCACATACCAATACTCAGCAGAACAATACCTGCTTTTTCACATTATTGTAGGTTGTCAGGTTGTTTAGGGTCAAACTGCTGAATGTGAGCCAAATAAATCACATACTGAATCACCCTGAGCGCTGTCCTGTGTGTCATCCATCACAATGAGTTTTTTCAAGTCCTCCACCACTGTGCTCTTGCGAACAGGCCGCGGGGAACATGCTGCTCGCAGTGATGCGATCACTCGAGGCTGACCAAACACATTCTTTGAGTTCACATTCACCTGACTGGAAAAAAAAAAGTGAAACCAGTGCAAAACAAAGTACTAAGAAAATTTGTTTCAGATGATAACTTGTATTGATTTTTTGACATGTTAGAAAACGCAGGTCAAGTTAAAAGTAGTTTTAACTTTAAAAAAAGTTAAGGTCTTTTGACCTTGCATTTGAATGTTTTTTTTTTCATTCTATGAGTAGAATGATGCATAGTGTTCATATGTATTTTTACTTATGTGTCATAGTGTGACCAATCAGAATCAAGTATTCTAATGAGAAGTGAAGTAACTGTAAAGTAGTAACTGAACCTAAATTGTGCTTGTGGTAGCAGCAATTTTAAAAGCATTATTACTATTTGCACACACTAATATACAATACTATCAGCTATGAAAATAGTACATAAAAAATAATAAGAATACCCTATCAAGATCTGCTATCCTCTTACCTTTTTACATGGTTGTGCTCAGTGTTTCTAACATCACCGGTTTCTCTATGTTTTGTGTACTGTGTCTTCTTTTGTTTTGGGCTGCAGTCAGGTTTAGCTGGGCTGGTTTGAGGTTGACATGACCGGTCAGGGTCACCCTGAGATGGTTTAATGTCAGTGTCAACACTCAAGCTAAATCTCTCATGAGTTGCCTTTTCCAGTTTTGAACAAGGCATTGCAGGCTGGTTTGCTCTAAACTGACGTTCAGGGAACAGATGCACTGTGTTAATAGAAAGATGAACCTTGGTAGAAATATCCTCAGTGAATAAATTCTGGCTCTGACTCCAGACAGGTTGGTGATGTCTAGGAGGTTTTCTATTGGGTTCTATTGGGAGACAGTCCTCTCTTAGAAGGAGTTGGCTGAAGTGCTCTTTGTCCGGTTGATTTGAGGTTGGTGAAGTTTGAGAAACCACAGCTCTCATCAAAGGAGGCTTTTCCACCACAAAAGTTTGAACTTTTTGTGGTTTAGAACACAAAGGGCTGGCAGAAATAAAACACAAAGACCACAGACACACACATATTGTTGACACATAAAAACAAAGAATAAGGTAAGCTGTCCATACAATGCAAACGGACATACACTGCAAAAAGAAAGACAGATCCATTTTAAAAACATAAAAGTCATTTCATTACAATTCGAATGTCCTTTTTTCTTGGTGATGTTGGTAATTTCCAGTAAAATACAACAAATCAGACTCAGAACTCCAGTGATAGATGGACTGATTGAATTTAGGGACAGGGAACAACGCTATGCAACGTGGTGGGAATGTCCCACTTATTACTGACTGTCCCTCCCCTCCCCATGGGATCTCATGGGTGGGAGGGGAACGAGGGGCACAATAATATTTCAAGTACTCAATCTTGGCTGAAAAGCAATCATGAGGCATCATGGAAATTCATACTGGTTTAATCTGGCCTTTTCAACATAAATTGCACATACTTTTCATTATGACATGGTTTATGCATCTCACCTGGCTTTGAGAACAGCAGTTTTGGAGCACGGCAGAGGCAACGTGTGAGCAAAGAACTCCTTCAAGTTGTTTGTAGAAGAAGATTTTTTTGTGGACTGTGCAGCTTCACAGTGTTTTGATCGTGGGATTTTTGGACTGTAGAAGCCTGGCTGTGTCAGCGGGTGCAGTTTACGACTGCTCCTGAGGGACTCAGCAATGTTCTTGGCATCTCTACCATTCAAGCAGAAGTCATTAGCATAGAGTGAAAAAGTACTTGATTCTCTATTTGGCTGGAGAAAATGCGCCTACAAAACAAAAAGAAGATTTGTTTGCAACAAATTGTCAAGATTAATTGCCCCCAATTTACTGATTTGTTACTTATCTTTCAAATACAGCTTCCTTTAATTTTCAAGAGTCAAAAGCAAATGGTAAGCAGTAGCGAAGTAATTTCACTTAATGTACATTTTCAAGTAGGCTATCTTTACTTTACCGCATTTTCATTTTTGGGAAACTTTTACTTCATTTCTAAGTACCAACAGCTTTTTAAATGCAGTATTTCAGAAAAATTTTCCATTCCTCATTTATTTTGAAATTCGAGTTCCGAGCACAAACTCTGCTTAGTGGCCAATTATAATTATTTTATTGATCATGTCAATGACAGTGTTGATTGCCTACAAACGATGAAATAAATATTAACCCTATCCCTAACTTTAACACTGTTTAGCATTGGTAGCAAATCCTGGTAGATACCATTAGTGATTGTTGCAATAAGATCAGTCCTTGTTTTTTGTAAACTCAGTTCTGGGGGGTGGGGGAGAAATCAATCCTTTGGGCAAGAGTTCATAAATGACTCATTCTTCTGAGATGTTTATTTTCACTGAATCAATTGTACCAATTCCCAAATTGCACTGCCTGGTTTATTTGTGATTTTGACTGATCCGACTGTAGCACTTAACAAAGCTCTAACCTACTGCAGAGTACAGTAGACATTAGACTCCTATCTCTTAAAAAAGATGTTATGAGAAGAGGATGGAGTATACAAAATAAAATAAAATAAAATAAAATAAAAAAGAATTAAATCTCACTCTTGGCAAGATGTTGTAAAACACCCTCTGCTGGTCTTCCCTCTGGCCTCTTCTTTCCCTGCCAAGCAATGAGCGAGTGGCTGTTACCATATGCCATTCTCCTTCTGAAATGTATGATGAAATACCAGAGGCAAATTACACTAAGTGAAATGAACTACAGACCGAATGTTGTCACTAACAAAAGCGTGCAGAATCTGCTACCAGACCTGTATTGTCTTTAGTGCTGGAGGGGTTCAATCGTGTGAACTCCACTTGCTCACTTGAAGGCCAGTCTAAGCTTTCTTGCATGGGTGAACTACAATGTGAACGATCATAGAAACTAAAAAAGATGGTCATTTTCACCAGGTCAAAGTGTAATGATTATCATATATGGTAAACGATTACATCTCACCTCACAGGGCTAGTATGCCTGAACTCAGAACTGATTTGTAGAGCTGGTTTCTGTGGAGGAGTTGTAGCGTAATCCAAGTCCAAGAACAATGCAGCCATCTTTCTTGGATTCCTGAATATCCTTATAGATACAGCCAAGATGTATGCAACAGCCAAGATGATAACATAATAATTTTCCTTCAAGACAGCCTTCCTGATGTGTTTAAGTCATCATCTGAAATGTGTTTGTGGATTTGGAGGACAAAATGATGGTACAGACTGCTCCAATTCATCTGAGTTAGCAGAGAAAGCAGGGGAAGAGCTGTGTGGGAACAGAGGATGGGATTGTGTTGTCTGTTGTTAGTACTGTGCTTGTTTGCTCCAGGCAACATAATGCTGTTATGTGCACTGCGATGAACTGAAAATAAAAGATTAACATTTAATATGTGCCTTCCAGAATATTAGCTAAAAATCCTACTGAAAACATGGATCTAAATAAATTAACGATTTCTGCTCAGCTTCATGCTTTAATTGCAGCAAAAGGGCAACATACAAAATACTATCAAATTCTGAAATCCAACTTCTCCAAACTGCTGGACGGGAACCTGGAGCCTATCCCAGCATCTTGGGTTACAGGCTCTGAAATTCCTAATAATTAAAAAAAGAAAAAGCTAAGTCAACAATCTTTACTTTCTACTGATATTGTAATCCGTATTGATATTGTATTTGATAATACAGCTCACAATAATACATGCTAATTTCCGAGTTTATTTCATTAAGGAAATCAGGAAATATTCTGCCATTTACACTGAAGCTAAAATATCACACTTAAAGGGGTCATATGATGCGATTTCAATGGTTCCTTTCTCTTTGGAGCGTTACAAGCTCTTGGTGCATAAAGAAGATCTGTAAAGTTGCAAAGACTAAAGTCTCAAATGTTCACGCAAAGAAAGAAGGCATAACTTTTATTCTCGCTGTAGTATTGTTGTTGCCGCCGCCATGTCGTGAAGGCGCTGTGTGTTTCGTTGTTTTTAACCTTAAACTGCATAAACATATTTCATTACACCAAATACACAAAATAATGTTATTTTTAGCAACATCATATGACCCCTTTAAATTATAAAGTATTACAGCCTTCATCTGTCACTCACATTGGAAATAAATGGCTGATATTTTTTAAATTGCTGTTAGATATTTGGCATGTTTCTTGAATGTCCTGTTTGTGTGTACCAAGTTTTGTGAAGTTTGGATGTTGCTCTCACAAGATACAGGCTTTTAGCCATTTTAGGCCAAAATAAATCACCCGAAAATATATAGGTTAAACATATAAATGTTAAACCATACGAATAATAATAATTAAAAAAATCAGATCAGTGTATATCCTTCATAACTTACTTTCTTCTGCAGAACACAAAAGATATTTTGAAGAATGTTTTTGTCAAAGATCAGTGCTGTTTGGGACCGCACAAACTTTCATTGTACGGACCAAAACTTTTTCCAAAAATTTCCTACTGAATATTATGTACAGTAGTATTGGAAATCTTGTCTTTATTAGAACTTTAATATCTTACTATAAGGCATGCATGTAAATGCCACCTCAGATGTAGCATCTGTGCACCTCTGAAGCGCAAGGATTTAGTTGATCCTGATTATATTTTATTTATAACAGCCAGATGTCTTATGATTTTATAGTTTAAATTAAAAACTAAGAAATGTATAACATGCAGTTGCTTGAATGTCTGTCATTGATCATAAGGTGCTACTACATTTTTCCATTGTGCTCCCAATTTAATTAGGAGCACATGTGGTCCTAAACAAACATTAAGCATGGAGCCCTGTTTATACCTTTGTATGGTTTTGAAAGATGAGGGGAAAAACAATCACATCATTTTTATGTTTATTGTGCTGACAGTCAAACACCTTTACAAAATTACCCAGCATGGAAAAAGATTATAATAGTTATCACAGAACCCAGAACTGCAAAACTAAAACAGCCAGGACAACAAAGCTCCCAACATAATGATCACAAGTCGTTTACTTATTATACAGTACAAAACCTCAATAAGGCGATTTCAAATTAACAGTGCAAACACTGAATTTGTGCATAAGGAGCACTGGCTCAAATATCCCACACACCATTCTCAGTCAAATTGGCATATATTTGCTATTAAGAGGGGCTGTTTAGCAGCTCATGTTTGCATGCAAAAACCACACAACATGGGAATGTGAGGCGTAACAGTTTAACAAACAGTGTTTAATGTGAATTAAAATAGTGCGTGATTAAGACAAATTTTTCTTATATTAGGAGCTATGCAATGTTATTAAAACAGTACTAAGAAAGGTGCAAGAGGTTTTTGTTGTTCTGTGATTCGATTCAGCTTCAGTTTATGGGACTGTTAATAGTGTGCACTTCAATTCAGTTCATCCCCAAACACGTTTGGTCACAAAAAAGAAGTAAAACGCAGGAAAAATATCTGGCAACCATCACAAACAGACTACAAAGTTCCAGATTTTCATTAGTATTCAAAAGCATGGCGTAACATATGTAAAAAAAAACGACTGTAATGATTTTCATCTGCAGGGTTAATGTTCATGAAACGAAGCTAATCTTTTACTAATCAACCCCTAAGAGCAAACTGCTTAAATAAAAATCTATTTACAGTGTAAAAATACATGCAGCTTTTCAAAAGTAGTGAGAACAACAACATAGCGAGGGGCTTCAGCAAGTAAATTCACAGGCTTAGATGTTCATCAGTAGGACTTGTAGTAAATGTTGAGGCCAGTCAGTCCATTCCATCAGTTCATCCTCTCCTACCTTCATCTATTCTCCATGTAGAAACAAAAAAAGGGAAATCAGACAGTCTGTGCAGAAAATGACAATTCTGAAGATCCACAATGCCTTTCATTTCCCCGGAAGAATGTTGGTCAGAATGTCAATAAAATTGTCCAGGCCCCAGAGGTACCCGTCCTCTCTGTTGCCCTCCACCCACGGGCTGCGATGGTCCAGGGTAAGAGGGGGCGGCATAGGCACAGTCTTTCCAAAGTCAATCATCCAGATTCCAGCCTTGCCAGTCAGATCATGGATAAATAATAAGGAGCTGCCCACCACCTGCAGGAAAACACAGCAAGACCATCCCTATTAAAGCCTGTATGATTCCTGAACAAAGTGGATTTGGAAAATGAAGATGCATCTCACCTCGTGTGCTTTAAAGAAATCTGATTTTTCCAGCACATCTCGAAGTTCCTTCAGGCGTTGTTGGTAACTTTTCTGTGTGAACAGAAGAGATTAAAAAAAACTATTAACTTGATAGTTAAACAGTTAAATGGATTAATGGTTAATAGAGGCACAGGCAGAGGAACCATTATTTCAACCAAACAGCCATTATTAAAAACTAAATTCAACATGTTTAAAAGCAAGATGTAAAATAGAATTCGTTTTTATTTATACACACAATTATAACAATAATTACATTCATCTACTCATATTTTTACTAAAACATTTTAAACATTAAGAAAAACAGTACATGTTATTCCCAAGAAACAAATAGTTTGTCTTCATGATTATAATAACCAATAATTATAATTTCAATTTATAAATACTGTAAATAAATACACATTTGAATTAATAAATAATAATGAACATATGGTAAGAATTCAATATATTGCCCAGTTCTAACACAAATTTGTGCTGATATTTAAATTCTGTTTTATACAATAAGCTGCTAATTATTCTAATTTTGTGGCCAATAAATAATAAATGGCCCATATTAAAATTCAATACTATTTTGTCCAATTAAAAAGATAAATAAAATCAAACATTTTAAAAGCTGCAAATGAATTCAGGCATCACAAAATTATAAAAGGTACAGAAAAATTCCAATTGTTTTGAAAAAAATATTACATTTAACAATTTGATAAAAAAACAATTTTATTTAAAGATTTACAATTATATATTAAATATTGACAGATATCAATAAATTAATACATAATATTAAATATATATATATACAATTTTTGATAAATATTGTAAATATTGCCCAGTTTGAACAAATTCATACCAAGATTAACATGTTGTTGTCCACAAAGTCCTCCAGGGCTTGGACGACCTCATCTTTGTACTTTGTTCTCTTGAAGTTAGTATTACAAGTGCCATCTGATTTCTGAAGACAGATCAAATATGTCAAGACATTATATCAAATGCCAAACATAAAACTTAGCCATCACAAGAAAAGGTCAAATAAGATACTAGTAAGCATTTCCAGTCAGTATTGGTTTGAACAGTTTATAGTAAATTCAGAGGTTTCCTGAATCATGTCTACCTTGATGCCCTCTATGCGAAAGCCCAGCGTGGCTGTTGAGCTGAGGGTTTCTCTCCACTGCATGTATCTGGTTTTGAGTACCGCTTGCTGGGCCCGCTCCTCCTCAGTAGGGGTTATATCAAACATTATATCAAATGCCAAACATAAAACTTAGCCATCACAAGAAAAGGTCAAATAAGATACTAGTAAGCATTTCCAGTCAGTATTGGTTTGAACAGTTTATAGTAAATTCAGAGGTTTCCTGAATCATGTCTACCTTGATGCCCTCTATGCGAAAGCCCAGCGTGGCTGTTGAGCTGAGGGTTTCTCTCCACTGCATGTATCTGGTTTTGAGTACCGCTTGCTGGGCCCGCTCCTCCTCAGTAGGGGCGTCCGGGTCCACTGCTATCATTTTTTCATACATGTCTTTGCGTGGCTGAGGACACTCGCAGGCCTTCCTCAACTCTTCCTCCAGGTAAGTCCTAAAAGCACATACAGTAAACAGGTCAACATGATCATAGGAATAATTATTTAGTATGGAAACATTGTCGTCTGTATGTTAGAACTGGCTTAACAGGACTGGTCCACTATGACATGAACAGAGCTGCTGGCCACCAGTCATCATATTTCCACTATTGTTTGGACACTGCCGTCTACTGCATTGTAGTCTTATAGTGACAATACACGGGGCAATTTTTTGAGCAATGTTGCTGGGCTATGTTGCCGTCAACGGGCAACCAAGTGAGACACAGGCCCCACGACTGATCTAAAGTATCAGGATAGATTTTTTGATTTGTTGCCCATTCTCAATGGGAAAGAGCCCAAGCAACATTGCTTGGCAACCCTGCCTGGTAACATTGCTAAAAAAAGTAGCCCTGTGTATCATCACCTTTAGCCACAGACGTCACACCCACAGAAAACCCAGAGTCCAAATGCTGACAGCACTGATGATAATTACAAGCTTCAGTCTGAATGCCTGACTGCAACAAGTCCAGCTACACAAGTTATCAAATTTGGCTGGGAATTGTGTTAAAAAAAACTGGGTTGATGATAATAAGTGCTTGTGAGCAGAGATGTGCTGATTTTTTAATTCTGTCGGATACTGATAAGCTGCCAATTAATTTCGCGTTGTGGCCGATTAACAATAAATGGCCCATTTAAATTCAATACTATTTTGTCTAATAAAAAAAAAAAGAACTAAAATTGTGCATTTTCATTTCATGTTGCCTTTTAAGTGAAGTTAGATGACGGCAAAGATAATAAAAAAATAAAAAAAGGAAATACAATATTAACAGATACTAATAGGTTAACTAAATCTATAATATCAGCCGATAACTGATATGACACCAATAACTTGTGCATCCCCACTTATGAGGAAGAACAAGTTGTTGGAATTGTCAGATTTTGTCAGGTTTGTGGCATCATATCTTTGAAAAATATTCAGTTTTGTAACTAGATACCCAAAAAAGCAGATTCAACTTTATTTTCTATTTATTAAGTAGTAGGTCCAAAATCATTGACCAAAAAAAGTTTGATTTAATCAACACTTCTTCGATTATGTGTTTTGACTGTGTCAGTTTACTGTGTGAACATAATGTTATAAATATATCAGGAGTGTGGACGCACTGTGACCAAAAATGATGCTAGAGTAGAGAACTTTATCATGACAGGTTTAATGCATCACCTGAGAACACCTTGAACTGCATAGAGTTCAATTTGACCTAAATTGTCCAGTTTTGAGCTAAATGAAAATGTTACATTCAATTTCTGTAAAAAATGTAGTTAGTTTACTAATGGTGTTTTCATGTAGTCATTTGTAAAGACAGCTGTGCCATGACTAAAATATATTTTTAGCATGCCAGTGCATTATTTTGGCATCACCTGCTCCTAAACCACACATAAATACAAAAATAGACTGTGGTTGGTTGCTTTGCATGCTGGTTAGATTGCCTCTTCCTATTTAAGTAGAGGTTCTTGGCTAAAAAAAAAAGCTGCAATTTGCACCAGTTTTACCAGTTCTGCAAGAAAAAAAGTACTGTGATAAGTGCCGAATTGCTGAATTTATAAATCACATCCTCACCGGCTCCCCATTTTGCAGTCCATGATGCAGGGCGAGTCAAAGTCAGCGAGGAGGTCGTCCATGAGGTTGTAATCCTGCTCTTCACACTGAGTCACGCCATAGTATCCAGGAATGAAGGGCCGCAGTGAGTCGCTCATGAGCTGCAGAAAACACTGCTTCTCACACTCGCAGTACTTCTTCAGCAGCCTTCCATCACTGCCCGTCTGAAAGTTTCCTAGAGGACCATCAAAAACAAGCCAAACAAGTCCAAAAAAGAAAAAAAAAGAAAAAAAAAAGGAATCACCCAACACAGCAACAAAAACACCAAGTAAGACAAAGAAAATCTTTAACTTTATATCCATTTCACATGACCATACAACAATAATGAATTCAAGATTTAAATGTGAAAATGTGAGCTTTCAGACACTGAAAATCATCAAAAGTTCAAGGATCACCAATAACATTGTCAAAAACATCTAAAAGATGAACAAGCAAACCTGCATGGCCGACCACCTGCACCCAGGGAGAGCGCTTTTTCACCGTCACTGGAAGTGGAGACCAGTTCACCATATTCTTTGACTTCTTCCACAGATCAGTCTTTGAAGAAGAGATAGGAAAGAAACAAAAGATGAATGAGACTCAAATGTCAGTTAACACCCTACGACTACGAGCCGCCGCATGGTGCACAATGGTTCTGTACAGGGTTGTTTGTTGCTAGACTTTTCTTGTCTTCTCTTTTGTTCTCATTTTCTTATCCAGTGAGCTGCACTGGGGCACCGAGTGCATTCAGTCAACTTCAGACTCCAACGGGCAACTCCCTCTCCTCTATTAACCATAGGTCGCGTTTCACCCCATGTGGCAAATCATTGACGACAATCTCGGACTAAACAAAGTCATCAAGCAATACCAAGTGACTGCGATGAAGAAAAAGCTAATCTTAGAAGGAGGTTCATGAAACATTTACAGACGGCACTTGTTTTGCTGCCAGATAAAATGAAGGAGCCAGTGTGGCCACTCACATACAGGTGCATCTCAATAAATTAGAATGTCGTGGAAAAGTTCATTTATTTCAGTAATTCAACTCAAATTGTGAAACTCGTGTATTAAATAAATTCAATGCATACAGACTGAAGTAGTTTAAGTCTTTGGTTCTTTTAATTGTGATGATTTTGGCTCACATTTAACAAAAACCCACCAATTCACTCTCTCAACAAATTAGAATACTTCATTTTTAGTGAATTGTTGGCCTTCTGGAAAGTATGTTCATTTACTGTACATGTACTCAATACTTGGTAGGGGCTCCTTTTGTTTTAATTACTGCCTCAATTCGGCGTGGCATGGAGGTGATCAGTTTGTGGCACTGCTGAGGTGGTATGGAAGCCCAGGTTTCTTTGATAGCGGCCTTCAGGTCATCTGCATTGTTGGGTCTGGAGTCTCTCATCTTCCTCTTGACAATACCCCATAGATTCTCTATGGGGTTCAGGTCAGGCGAGTTTGCAGGCCAATCAAGCACAGTAACACCATGGTCATTGAACCAGCTTTTGGTGCTTTTGGCAGTGTGGGCAGGTGCCAAATCCTGCTGGAAA